CTCCTGCTATGGGCAGCTATGTGCTCCTCGAGCAATGGTCCGCTTTGCGAAGGGCAACAAGTGAGTTCTCAAACACTGGAGGTATAGATCCACCAGCAGCTAATCAAGACACAAAGTACACCACCTTAAATCAAGTTCTAGCTTTAAGAGCAGGATGATGCATCTTATCTGATAAGATGGGTCCATATGCTTGCGTTACGAGTCGGTCGAGTCAAGGAGACTTCTATCAGGGACCTAACCAAGATCCCCTATCATCGCTAGTCTCATGCAAGCGTAATCCAGTGAGTCCATCTCTATTTGCCATTGCTAATTGTGCTCTTGACGTCGCTGAATGCTATTAATCATGAGTGTCCGGCTGCCAGAACCCAGATCAATGCATCACTGAAGAAGGCAGCGGACCTGGTCGACGACAATAGGCCTCTCCGGTACAGAGGAGCTTTAACAAGGAAGCCGATCGCAGGTCTAGGCCTCGCACTCCCCGGAACTGACAGCGAGACCAGCGACAAGGGAGCACTATTGGCAAGCTTCGAATCGAAGCCGAAGCTGTTGGGTGACGCAGAGCGGTCCGCCGCGAACTAGAAGATCATCGCCGCTCTGAAGACGTTCCCCGAAAGGAGAGAACGGAAAGCATGAATGGTTGTTCGGACTCCACATGAGCATGAAATCCTGACAATATCACCAGCATCTCACGATATAAGAAGAGAGGCTGCTGCATACCTAGCAGGTCCGCAGGCTCCGGGCTCAGTGGGGGGGTACTTTGGTCGAAAGGTCAATACGGCGTGGATGAACGTAAAAAAAAGCGTCACTCTATCCTGCATTGAAGTGAATCCGGTCGACAATCTAAAGGCGTGAATGAGAGCAGCCAGGTAGGTAACAGATTATCTATCGCTTAGCATGTCCAAATTTCTATCCCTGCTGCTATCGTTTTCGCTAATACAATTGCTCTCGTCCACTTTGTGTCTATTTCTTTGACATCATACCTCAAAAGGCCTGGGAAAGGGGCCACGACTGAAGATGCCGACGTATAAGACTTTGGCTCTCGCCCGGCCTCAACACCATCGGCGTACCACTAAGATGGGCTCGACCCGGCCGATCGTGATGATCGAACCCGCGCAGCAAAACAAATGCGCCAACGGGCCAGAGACGGCTGGGTGGTGTCAGAGACAGGATCTGCGCCACCAACGAGCGGCTACGATTCCGACATCGAAGAAAACAGAGAGAAAGATAATTATAACCTATAGGATGAGTTACAGAGTCTCGCCGAAAGTTTCACCCGAGATGATACTGACCTCCTGCCCGATGACGACTGGACGTACTTTACATACTCGACCAGCCACCAACGCAAGTACGCAAATTCGAACAGGATTCAATCACTTTGTCGCATTTATCTCAAAGATCTATATACTTTTTAGAGGCTAAGGTGAGCAGCGTGAACGTAATCAAGGGGTATTCACGGGCCGCCCTCTCAACGGTGGTAGGCAGTCACGACCCGGCAACCCGCTTCTTGCGACAATGTAAAGGCGCAGGTTTTCGGCGACAACGGTCAACTCTTGCTGCTGGCTTCGACAACGGAGCCTGTATCCTTCTTACTGACCACAAGTCTATTCTCAGTCGACAGGAAGATAACAGAGAGGTGAAGCTTTGCCGATCGGATGTCGAGCGAGTGTTTCATGCGCGGCCTTGTACGAGACGAAGGCATATGATGACCTTTAGTCGACCACCGCACCAACTATCTCTCTTCCTGCCACTAACCATCCAAGTCTACATCCTGACATCCTTATCACGCGCGTATAGCAACTGCGACTTACTCTCACAAGCCGACTATCGGGTCTTTGTGAGTCAGGTCATCATTCTTCTAGGAAGTCATTAGTAGAAAAGAGGACAGTAAAAAAGGATAGTTAAAAAAGGATAGTTATTTATAAAAAGGATAGTTAAAAAGAGGATTATTAAGATGACGGTAGTTGAAAAGACGATAGCCAAGATGAGGATGTGTAAGATGAGGACGGGTAAGATGACAGCCATTGAGGCCAGCCGGTTCACTATTTTCTTGCTTAGCTTCATGTCTTAGCTTCAAATAATCGCGATTGGAAACTCTTAGATCACTTGGAACTGTTCCAATCGAAAGTCTTATGCCTTAGACGGTAGCAATCCGGCGCCGTGTCGCAAGCAAACCGATCCTACATACCTCTCAAAAGAATACCAATGGTGATCGGTCTGATAGAGGTTCTCTCTCAAATCATGTTCGGCGATTAGGGTACAACTACATACAGCGGTATTGATAAGTATCTTGGTGCTAGTAGATGACTCGATGGCCAGGAGGTGACCCAGTCGAGCCCGAACGGCGAACGAGAAGGGCTCAGAGGGAGACACCACCCTAGTCAAGATGAACTCCGTGACGGCAATGCTCTGTATTTTAGTGTCTCATATAGGGGTGAGCCTGCGCAAGGAATAGTCTTTTGAGTTGATGCGGACGTCTAGGTGAACATGGGCCTTAGGTAAGATAACGTCTAAGCTTTCCATCCGAGGAAGGGCATCGAGCGTATCAATGAAGTTGCCGGCTCTCAATGACCGGTCCATGTGAGTCCGTTTCGTTGCACTCCGGCACTGGCAGGTTCGGCTCTTGGTTCTCAACTGGGCCGAACGACACCGTCCGGATCAGTCGGTATAGGTGTGCCCTTGGGGGAGGGGAACAACAGTATGTGCGTTCTACCTGCTTCCAAAGCCGTTTCATGCCTTCTTGGGGAAAGGAATCTGACGGCAGCACTGCATCCTAATTCAAGCCAAGCCGACAAGCGTCACTGCTGAGCTTGGTGATCCCGAGATGGCCTCCAGTTAGTTGGAGTAGAAAGGCGACGCAGAGTTTGGCAATATGGACAAGTCTTCTCTAAGCTTGTGCTCAAAATGTTGATTGAATAAGGCGCGATATTGTCACGGACTTCCCGGTGCATTTAGGAGAGGCTCGAACACTGACGATACCATACACCTGAGGCGAATGTCTTAATACAAGATGCGGGTACTTGTCATTACTGCCAGGATCGAGGCTGCCCACACTGCCCATCAAGAAAGCCCTTCAGACGGTCTAGATAAGGTCGAAGGTTCAGAACTTCGTACGCTCTTTCCAAGTATCCTCATTCGAACAGACTTATAAATATATACTATCCCTTTTTACTATCCCTCTTTTCTACCTCTTTTCTACTATCCTCTTTTCTATTATCCTCTTTATTTTTACCCTCGTCTTTCCTTCCTATATTTCTTTCATTCCTTATCTCTTACAATATATTCCTATGCGTATATAAATACATTATAAGGAATAGCTATAAGTAAGAGGGCCGGTAATGAACTATAGGTTCATTTGCGGTGGGCGAGGCGATGTCACTTTTGACGATGAGATTCCCTTACCTTCGGGAGCAATTATCGGGGTTATACACCACCTAATCACTCGAACTCAGCCCACTTGGGCACGGTATGCCCATTGAAAGTAGTATAGTCGAGTCCTGTATATTCGAAACGTGAAGCGAGTTCCATCATTGAGCCAACGAGCTATGTGTTGACACTGGGACACGATCGCTTTTCGTTGGGTGGCTGGCGGAAGGAAAAGCCGCACAGGTTCCGGTTCTGCGACCCTGCGGGATTCAAAGCCCACAGAGGAAACTAAATAACGCTGGGCAGAGATGACGTAAGTTCTCAAATGGGTTTCCAACTGAGCAAAAGTTATCTATGTCGGGATCGCGGACGGTTGCGGACAGACAGGTTGATACGACCACCCACCCACGCCATCCCCATGAAGTGACTTGATATGTTCTTGCGCCGGTGAGTTCGGTGAAGCAAGCAAGTAGGCAGCTGGGTTATGCAGTTTTTTGTGCCATCCACAAATTTGCATAAACGTACATGACAAGATGGCATAACACTTTGAACAGTTGGATTCTGTTTGTCACATTTTCCCACCACCAGACCCCATAGACCGCAATCGACCAGCCGGTCAACAAGGTAAACCAGAAGACAGTGGATACAAGAAGTCTCAATAAGCCAATGGTTATCGTTGTCAAGGCTGACCGTCTGTTCGTGGTGGATGTTTTCGCGTAACTCACCGGAAAGTTGACCCAGGCAAACAGGTGGCTGTCTCTGGTCCAACAAGCTCATTGGACATGTCAGTAGCCAATTTCCGCATGTATCCACACGGTCTAAGGTTTCTCCCCGCCCGGAATGACTCGTGTCCTCACGCATTCTGCCGCCTCGCCCCATCCGCGCCTCGCAACACCGCCCAGCAGATTTCTATATAAGTGCAGTCTGTCGGCCTTCCTTTACCTGTTTTCTTCCTTTCTTCTTTAGCTCTCTTTGCCTTTTGGCTTAGATCAAGTGTAGTATCTGTTCTTTTCAGTTTAATCTCTGAAAGGTCTCTAAGGAGACCAATCGTGATTATTCCTATTTTTGTACCTAGAGAGAAGTCCTCTGTGCTTGCACATGGCTCCTCTCACAGTGTCCCTGGTATTACACTGCCTCCAGGCGACGCGAACCTCTTTTTTCATTGTGTGCTCTGGCTTGCCCAGTGTCATGAGGAAGAAACATTAATGCCTTACGTCAATGTTGAGAAGACGAGCAACACCGGCACCTGACATTATGAGACAGTTATCATTGGAAAGCCCAGGTCGAGCACAACTTGCTGGTAAAAACTGCTATCATGCGGCTCGAATTTCGACATGGTGTGGAATTTCCATTGTGTGCACCGGAATTCCGAAGGAGGCGGCTCGGTGATATCGGCGCTCGGCGCTAACTCTGCACCCCACACTCGAGCTCAGTCGCACATGCCACGGACCCACTTCCCATGCGCGGCCCGCCAACGCCAGACCAAAGATATATGAAATTTGCACGTGACATTCGACTTCAACTCGACCACCATTGACGTCACTGACCATCAATTGACCATTGAAGGGACGGTCGAACACCCAGAGCGAATGGTCATCAGTCCACGAGAATCAATTGCTTCGAACCGCTTGACGCGAACACTGATTGCATCGTATGGAACAGTACCAAATGGCGGATGCCTACGCATTCGTATGTTCACTCGTTCTGCTACATTTGCTAGCTGGGTCTGGCGACGGGCGCGAATGTCCCCTGGTGGTACCACAATGACCTGGCTGCCATCTCAGTGGATTCTCAGCCGGATTCAACCGCTCACTAACTGCTCACTGACATGAGACCAAAATTCGAAAACAACGTCCTTGCAATGGCCACAAAATAACGATGTCCGGCCAACCCTGGCAAGTTGAAGCACTGAGACCGCAAAGATATGCATCAATTGACTTTCTTGGTCTACATCTCGTCGCACTTATCGATCCTCCTGGTACCCGGATCAACTCAGCTCCCCATTGTCGGGATTTCGGACAAGCAAGTAATCGTTCTAAACGCCAAATCCAGTTTAGCCAGTTCCACGTACCTCCGCGATACTTCATGTTCCCCGCGATGGACGTCGCAAAACTTGTTCACGCAACCGAAAATGTTTTTCTCGTCCCACCCATACGCTCGTGTGAGCCGCCGAGAGTAAATCAGCGTCCTGTACCCTTCGATCTGAGATTTGTGAGGTCGGTGGATGGTGAACGGCCTCTGGACCGCCATAGTATCGGGCGGCATGAAAGTGAAGACCGAACCATACTTGGGCAGAACCGAAAACCCGAGTTCTGCCATGGCGCCTTCGAAAGCCGTCCAGTTCACCGCACCTCGGGACTCAGACTTATTGAAGAAGGCATTGAAAACCTCGGCAGTCGCTGGCGAGACCTTGAAAGTCTGTTTCTCAACAACCGGCTCTAAAGTCGAGGCCTCAGCCTGAGGACCGACCTCATACGCAGAGACGTGAGCCGGACGTGTCTTTTCCTTCTGCTTGCGCTGCTCCACCAAGGTCTCTCGCGGCTCGGGGGCTGGCACCGGTAGGGGCGTCCACTCCTTCTGGCCTTGGACAATCTTGGCTTTGAACTGTCCATATTGGTTCTCAAGGTCGGAGAACCATTCGTCAACGAGATCTTCGTAAAGCACACCGAGCTTGGCTCCCGCATTGTCAACGACAAATTGGTCGAGGGTCTTGAGAGCTTCGACGGTCATACAAGGCTCCAGAAGCTTGTCGATGGGGACAGCAAAGTCTCTCAAGTCAAGGCCGGTCTTGAGCTTGTTCAACTCGATTTCCAGCTCTTGAGATCTAGAGACAAACAATTGCCCCTTTTTACGAGATGGAGCTGGCGCTGAGGTTGTGCTGATTACATCTTGAATGAAGGCGACGGTGGTGGCCAGGTCACAAAGCAACTCGAACTCGCTCAAGTAATTTCTCTTGCTCTTCAGGATGAGCCTGGTGAAGATCGCCCAACTTCTTCAGCCAATCGACAGCGTTGGATGCAGTGGTATCAGGGTGACAAAGACGGAGAATGTAGTGAAGCTGAGGATCACTCCTTGTCAATTCGCCTGGGTTGCTTTTCAGCGTCACACGCGCGTTACCGGCGCCGTCATACGCATTGGACATTCGCTTGTACCACTGGGTGCCCGAGTGCGCTTGGATCTGCCGCTTGAAGAGGGCTTGGGCGGAGGCATATGCGAGTTGGACGGCGTTGGCTATCTCTTGTAGCATAATCGTCTTGTGGGCCTTGTCCTTGTTCAAGGTTTGGAAACGTTCGAGAAGCTGATGTATGTAACTCCACAGGGCGGCTTCCTTGACAGCGTTATGGACGGCGTCGAAGACACTAGCACTCATGAACTTATCGGAAACCACTGGCAGCCGGCGTCCTTTCTCATCCGGAAGTACCTCCGGCCGGCTGAAGAACCAGAAGTTGACGTCGTGGGCAAGGACGATCGGTTCTGAGTACAATTATAGGCGTTCCTTTTGCGAGGCCACCTGATCGCGAGCAGCGTTGACGAGGTCATCTAGAGAAAGCTTGGCGGAAGATCCCTTGACGCTCAATTTTGAGAACGCTGCAGTGGCCGTCTCAGCGGACTTCTTCCGGGGCTGAGTTGTGATTCGTGTCTTTGAGCCCTGCTCCAAGATTTCGTCCATGAGAATATCGAGCGACTGCAATATGCTCATTTGACGATGCAAGACTAGCTCGCCATTAGCTTGGGGTATGAAGAGTCCCGCCCTGGTGACCGATTGAAGAATAGGAAGAACAGACAGCAGTTTCACGCCTTCCAAGTCTTCCTCGGTTAGATGGCACGGTTTTCCGTACATATAACCGTCGGCGAATATGGTGAGACAGTCTTCGTAACGCTCACCATGGCGGAGATTCTGAGTTCGCATACTCTCAACAATGATGCCGTGATCGCCAGCGCCACCGTTAGGCCCGTCACAATACTGCTCCATGAGTGTCTTCTTGGCGCGATGCTCGAGCATGTTCAGAAGATGTTCGGGTCCTTCAGTCAAGTCGCGCAAATTCCAGTCGGGAACATACTTGTAGACGTCACCAAAGGTAGTATCCCTCGAGTGTTTGAGCAAGACACCATCCAACACCCCGTCCTTGACACATTGGGCGCGCTGGCTTGCGTCAAAGTCTTTCCAAATTTCCCGGATCGCAGTGCCATGTCTCATGTATTTTCGGACCAGGTCACGATGGAGGTCTGTCACCACATCATGAGGCGGTAGCTATTGCATCTTGACCTAGTGTGCCCGTGGAGATGAGCACAGCCGGCCTGCCGATTGGAAGATGTGGTGGGACACGGAGTCGCTCTTCATTCAACAACTAGATCTTCCCGGTGAAGTTGAAAATGGAATCCCTTGTAAATCCAGTCTTGAGCTTCTGGTCGGTGCTCCAACTAATGACCTGACCGACGTCCAATTTGCTTTTGGTCGGAAAATACATGTTCCCGCGATACGTGCTGAGTGCTTTCCATTGTACTCTGAACCCTGCTTGCCTTATCCACAAATTTCTCCCTTCCTCGAAGCGTCAACTTGCTTCAAGGACACTCATGACACCGCATCTCCTTCTCGCACCTCGTTGTGTTCAGAGCACCTCTCAGACGGGAAGCACGAGCCTTCGCCGCCTCCCCGAATGTACCCTCGTCAACTTGGAGCATGTCTGCTGGATTCATCGCGTTGAGGCCATCTCAAATGTCTTTTGCTGCCTCTGGATTGGGTCCACGGTCCGCAGCTACTACCTAGACATACTATGACGGCTTTGAGCACTTGGGCCTGCATATGACTCTATGCCCGTAGACTGCTATCTGTGCCTTTTGAGCTATATCCATATGTGATCAGTAGATTCTTATTACGAAGTCTGCATTGTTCAAAATTGCAAAACTGCCACGATCTTAAGAACCTCAGTAGAAATTGGTAGCTGCCACGGTATGTGCACTGATTCATTGGTGCAAAAACCTATTGCCGCAGACCCCCGGCTTCTTTCCAACTTTCTACCTCTCAATGATGGCAATCTTTTAGATCATCACCACAAAGCTAGTTCGAAGGACGAGCAGGAAATGGGGCTCGGTAGCATCAAGAGTCGAGGGCGTGGGCTATTCAACATCGAATGATGCTAGGTTTCGGGAGGAGCCCAATGATAGACTTACATCGACCAAGCCCAACCCGCTACAAGTTAGTGCCGTACGAAGGCCAGCCAGGTTGTTGATTACCCAACTGTCTGGAAAGGGGCATATTCCTCGGAGCAAGGGGCGTGTAATCAAGTTCAAGCCCTTCCTTTCAGCCTTAAACCTTGCGATCGTGATAGGTTTTTCATGAGGAGGAAGAAAAAAGTTCAGAATCCTTCGGGTGGTTTAAGATGACCGCATACCTACTCCCCTCCAATGAGGACCGCACACCATCAACCATGGACCAGCCACAGCCCTGTAACGGTTGTGAAATCCCACAGGGCTGTTAGCTTCCGTTCCTCGTCCACCCTTCGGAGCCGGAAGCTGGTCCAGTTAAACCTACCGACGAGGGTTCCTGGTCACCGAGTCGGCGACGTTATGGAGTTCGCTGGGGACAGCCTGGGACCGTAGGACGGCCGGGGGCGCTGCCCCTCTCCCGCGCGCCCGCGCGGCAACTTGGAAGTCGAACGTGGTCACACAGACACCCACGCGGGGCGGCATAGTTATCCGATCATCGTTTGCCGACCTACCTTAGCTAGCAGTTCTAGACTGTGCCAGACGTCCTGCCCAACGGCGGCGCAGTCAGGAACATGTGCGAACACAGCCACGGCCCCCAGAGGTTTTCGAGGCTTACAATAGGATAGTTTCTACACATGCCCAGCGGCGCTTAGAAAGTCGAACTCATCGATGCTTAACCGATGTTAGGTAGTGCTTGTAATGTTGTGATCTAGCCGTCATCGATTCACGATTCACTGCTGCCTGGCTCAACCCCCCCGTACCCGGGGCGCCTCTTGATTGACTTTGGACAGCCAAACAACCCACCCATGTTGCACTCAGCCAAGGGGTCTGATCTCCTGGCACCCATGCGTGCCATGCCGCCAACTCGTGCTAACGGGTGGCGGTGCGCATTTCCCGATGTTTCCAATTCCTCGATCTCTACGGAATCCGTGTTCTCCTCACAATCTTTTTGACTTCATAGCTCGGAGTCCGAGATAGTGCCCCACGTTTTATCCTCCACGAACCCCCCTCCCTCATGTCAAATTTCCCCTTCTGTCAACCTGCCTGACAAGACAGCTTTCAAACCTGTTGACTTGCGGAAGGATTCATCTTATCTTCTTCTTTTCCTCTTTTTTTCCTGCCCGTTCGTCATACGAGATAGACCAGGGTTATTACGGATGATGTAAAAGCGTTTTTAGGCAGCAATAATACATCGTTCCTTCGTTTCCTTTGAGCGCTTCCAAGGTTACAACAAAGAGAAGGGGGGAAGAAATATCCAACCCCCAGCAACATCGAAACCTTGTGTAATAACCGCTGCTGCTGCTGCCCGTCAGAAAAAGGCGCCAGGTATCTCGGTTCAGGAAATGCGTATAGTCTACGGCCGGCGACCTCGCATCTGTACCAAGACATTTTAGCGGGAACACACAGTCTCCGAGACCCGAGTACCCGGAAACTCCAATAATCCTTTCCTATTAGGCACTTTTGTCCTCACTTCTCAGCCTCTCACTTATAACAAGGCCAACAAAACTCCGGCCCTGATGCCCTCTCCCGGTCCCCAGATTCTCACCTTTGCGCTCGAGAACTGGCCTCACAACGCCGGGCCTACAACCAGGGCTAGCAAGCCCAAGGTCCGGACGGGATGCGTCACATGCAAGTAAGTCAACTCATCCATCATTGACATCTCATCTCTTCTCATCGTACTAACATCCTTCCAGACGACGCAGGATAAAATGTGACGAGACGAAGCCGTCATGTGAAAACTGCCTCAAGCGGCGGGTGGAATGTGAGGGGTACAAACCCAAATCACCAAACGCCTCCTCCTCCCTCGGCGCAGCCTCATCAAAACAACTCATCGCAACCTCCAACGGCAGCTCCTCCTTCTCCATCGAGCCGGGCTACCAAAGCCTCGTCTTCACAACACAGCTGCAAAAGGACCACTTTGACCAATGGCTCTCCTTCGCCGCAGACACCCTCGTCTTCCCCTCCCAGCTCATCACCGAAACCATCCCGCAAATCGCCCGCTCCGACCTGGCCGTCCGCAACGCCGCCTTCGCCATCGGCGCCGCCGCCCTCGGCAGCGGCACCCGCGAGGAGCGTCTCACGGGTAAGGGCCCGTACTTCGCCGACGCGCTGGAATACTACAACCGCGCGCTGCAGCTGACCGTCAAGTCCCCGCCCACGGAGGAGACCTTCCCCAGCGTCCTCATGACGTGTCTCCTCTTTGTAATGTTCGAGGCCCTCCACGGCGACAGGAGGTCCGCACTGACGCACCTCAACCACGGGTACAACATCCTCGACCAGTACGAGCGGCGCCGGGCCAAGAAGATGAAGTCCCAGAAGCAGACGCAGGCGTCCCGCCGCGATCCCCTCGTCAACGCCATCGCCACAAACTTCCAGCGCCTGACTCTCCAGTCCTGGAGCCACAACGGAGACCACCCAAAGGAGACGGAGAAGCAGGTCCCCTGGTGTTGCCGCGGCCAAACCGCGCGCTACGCCGTCGATGAGATGCCCGACGCCTTCGACTCCCTCGACGAGGCGCACCGCTGGTGGGAAGTAACCCAACACCACGTCATCCACCACGCGCCCCTCATCATCGGCTTCCGCGTCGAAGGGACGGGTAACAAAGCGCCGTCCTTCCCGCCCAACGTCAGCCTGCCCATCAACCCGGAGCAAGTCAAGGCGCACGACCGCTACGTCGAAGCCTGGCGCCTGCGCTTCTCGCCCCTCCTCGAAGCGCAAGAAGCCAAAGAGGTGAAGTGCGACAGAGAGTACCTCAAGGCCCTGGGCCTGCGCATCCACTCCACGTACCTCTCGATCCCGATCCTCACAGCAAACTACTGCGACACGGACATCCTCGCCTCCATGACACCCAGCTTCCGTCTCTACGTCGACCTCAGCGCACACTTCCTCGCCCTCCAACAGCGCCTGCTCAACGCCTCGGGCGAAATGTTCACAATGGACAGTAACAGCCCCACCTGGCCCCTCGGCGCGGCGACGATGCTTTGCATGGACGAGAGCGTGCGGGCCGATGCGCTGCGGCTGTTTAGGGAGTACCCGCGGCGCGACGGGCTGTGGGATACGCAGACGTGGCTGAGTATGCTGGAGAGCTACAAGGAGGCGAACCAGACTATCGTGAAACAGGTTGGCGAGCGGGAGTCGCAGCACATGTTTGATGTCGAGGTTGTCTATGAGGATAAGTCTGTGGTGTGGATTAAGCAGGTGGAGGATCCTACGAGTGTTAGTCCGGATGATTTGAAGTATAGGATTAATCTCCCTTGAGGGGGGGTAATGAATGAGTTAAATGAATGCTGAGATGTCATGCGTGGTATTGCAATGCTTGACCAAATAATCGATGGTCTGGGTGTGGTTCCGCCATATGAAAATGCATGTCAAGGCTGTAAAACTCGTAAGACTTGAACTCATCGGGTGAGAAACTGACGGGAATCGCCATCGTGGGACAGATAACATTGACGCCTAATTTACTAAGAAGTCCGTCGGCGTACTTATAAATACAACACGAGCTAGCCTAGGGTGCTGCGAAATATTCAACACAATCTCATGGTCACGCTTCTGCCAGAGAGTCTCGAGAGCCCGTGAATGCGAGTTAAGAGAAGGTCACACAAGCCGCCCGATTATCCTATTATAAGGTAGGTAAAGAAAGAAGGGAAGTATACTCTACCCACAAAGCAAATCCCTTTTCTCCCCGCTTCCACCTCGGCGCTTATTCAAATCAGAATACTTATAAAATGACCCAGCTGACCGAGTAGTTACGAGGTTTCGAAAACGAAGGAAATCCTTGTCAGCAAAATAGTCAAGTCGATGATCCTCGGCACATTACAGCAGAATTTTTGACGGAGCTAGATGTAAAGACCACCTTCCAAGTCACGGTGCTGCTGATGCTGCTGCTAGAATAGACACCTCTGCTGCAGCAAGAGGGCAATTTATATCAAGGCCCTACGTGATAGATGCGGCGTCAGGCATTGAGCATTGAGCCTTGCGGCCATAGTGAGCCAGGTTCCGGTGGTGTACTTCACGAGCCTGATTGCATCGGAATCACTCGTAATCTACAATGCATAGGTTCAAGATGTGGCTCGGTCAAAAGATTTTGTATTCATAAACCTCCTTCTCGCCTCTATCCACCGAGGCAGATATCATTATCGATCTATGAAAAAGGGGGGTTTGCCATCATCCTATTGAGGCCGCTAATCTCCAAATATCAAAGATGCTCTTTTTTTTTAGGGGGTCTCATGTCCATGAAACAACCAACGCAAACTACACAAAACTGTCTTTTTGATGCTGAAAGCCCCTTGAGGCAGTCAACCAACCAAGTCTCCCCTAAATGGACGTAATCGTAAATGCCGCTGTGTTCTCCTTTTTTATGCAGATTCAAATCAACAATCACCCGCAATAGCTTGGTGGAAATGCAGGTATCAACCGTGCTTGAAGGCAAAATGTTGCCCAACCAAACGCATACGCACACAGTATTAAGTGGGGGTATAAATACAGGTCTCTCGGCCCATACGACGGGCATGAAAGACCTCATGGCAAGTGGTAAGTCGCTTAGAAGAACTTGCCCTTCTTCTTCTTGGTCGTCTTCTTCTCCTCACCTCCGCCTCCGAGAATGTCGTCAAAGGTCATGGTTGACGTGGCGGGATCGTGGGTGTGGTCAACAGACATATTACGCAAATTCGTGGCAGAGGGTGAGCGCGGCATAACCATGCTCAGAGGACGAGAGCCGGCCGAGCTGCTTCGTGCGCTGCCGACGCGCGAGTTGCGGTCACCAGGCAGGCCCTCATCAAACGGAACGGGCTCGAGGCCGAAGATCATGCTGGAGCGGTGCGCGGCGTTGCGGCTGCCAAGCTGACGTCCGCCTGGCGAAGCATTACGCGGCCGGAGATGGGACTGTGGGGACCCAGGCGTGGGCGGAGTGCCACTTGTGCCGAGAGCCGGGGGGCTGCCGACGATGCCATCCGGACCAGGGAAAACTGCCCGGGGCGGTTCCAGAGGGGACATGCCAGTGTCTTGTGGGGGTGGGGCGTCCGCGCCGCCCAGTCCTTCCCACTCCTTGGCCGCGAGCCAGCAGTGGCTGCGGTGGTAGACCGCCTCCACACTGAACAGCACGCTGTCGGCCGAGAGCTCGACATAGCCATTGCCGCCAGAGACTTCGTACCACATCTTGCGAACCTGGCGAGCATCCTCGACCCACGGGAGGTTACCCATGGGCGGCTCGCAAAGGAAGTACTCGACGCCTTCGTTGAACCTGAGGTTGGGCGCGTCAACCACGAGCATGGGCAGCGACTGAATGACGACGTAGAGGAAGAGCCAGTAGCCAATGCGCTGATCAGCGAGATCTGCCGCGCTCTTTCCCTTTGCCTCGTGCTGCTCAAAGTCCTTGAACTCCATGAGGAAGGGAATGTTGACGCTGTTGGCATCCCAGTTGTACGCCTTCTGGATGACCAGCGTCAACTCGTGTTCCTTGATCTTTCTGTCAAACCTGGCCTGCTCCTTGGCTGACAGGTTGTCGTACGTCGCAAGAATCGACGTCATCGTGGGCAACTTCGGAACATCAAATGGAATCGGCGGCAGTACGGGAGGCGTAGAGTTGTCGAATTCGGTGAGCATCTTGCGCAGGTTGACAATCGAGAGGGGATCCGTGGACTTGGCAGAATCTTCATCGGCGTTTCCATCCATTACTCTGGTGGTGATGTTTTCGCGGTCAACCAAAAGGTCGTACATCGCGGTCATGTCAGAGTAGAGCGCCTTCAACACCAAACGGTTGAGACCGCTCTCAGAGAAGGGGTTCTTCTTGCTGCTAGCCTTGGGGGGCCAGGCGCCAAAGCTGGTCTTGTAGTAGCCCATGACGAACTGCTTCATCTTGCTGAAGTACTTCTCCCACACTTTGAAGCGGACAGCCTTGAGCCCTGGGTCTGATGTAGAGCTGGCAATACCTGCAAACAATGAGGGGAACTCGAATCGCTCCAGTCTAATGTTGACGTTGTGTTGGCGGTTGACGAGATCCAGATGCGCGCGCTCCAACCGCTGTCTGGTGTACAGTGATACCTGCTCGAACAGAGGAGAGTTCAAGTCCAGAATGGCAGTGTACTTGCCGACGGCGTGCGCAAAAGCCTCGTTGTACAAGTCCATTGACTTCATACTCTCACCCAGAATCAACGACTCGAGCGTCTTCTCGCGGCTATGACGGACATCTGCAAGCGACAATTGCTCCATGAAGAAGCCGAAGCTGAGGTCAACGGCCTCGCCGAAAGACTGCCCATCCGCGTTGGTGAAGCCATACTCCTTCAGCAACTTGGAGATCTGCAGGAATGCGGCAAAGGTGGTGGGGTGCGCCTTGGTGGCCACCAGAGGCTGGCCGGTCAAGAACGCAAAGAGGTTGCGAATGGCGATTGCGCGGTCGACCTCGGCACGGAGCTGGGGTCCCGGCGCGGCGAGACCGTTTCCGGGCTGCGTGTATTGTGGGGGCGTCGCCGGCAGGTACAACTTCAGTTCGCCCTCGCCAGGGCTGTCTGGGTCCTCCGCAGGAGGCGAGCCGGACCCGGAAGTGGTCGCCCTGACAAGCGCATCGTCGACGGACAGACTACCCCCGAAACTTCTCCCACGGCTCCGTCCTGATGGCGACGACATTTCAGCTTGAATAAGCTCGTTGAAGATGATGGAGTTTATAATGGAGAAGCTCGGAACCTTGAACGAAGGTCCGGCATTGCTGCTTCTAGGTTGAAGGTAAACGTAGACATTGCCGTTTTCATTCCACAACTCCGGCACCTGCGAGTGAATTAGTGTCTCCATCCGATGTGGTGCAGCACGCGACAGAAAGCTTACTTTTTCAGCATTCAGCAAAAACGACGTGTTGTACTCGCCAGGCGTATCAGGCGACAGGACCCACGCCTGTGAGTTCTTCACAGCCGCGGAAACGTCGTGCGAATTCGACCTTGATCTTCCACCACCTGGCAGCCAAGATCTGCGCAAGCGTCCACGTCTCTCGTCGCGGGTTGGGCTGTGGCTTTCGTTCGACCCGGTGGTGTCGGTTCTGGCCCCGGGTGGGTGTGCAGAGGTGCTCCTGCCCCGTGCATCTGGCGAAGGGGCGCGAACGCCCAGCATGGGGAATCCGGATTTTCTGTTCTCGAGGAAGGAGCTGCTTCGCTTCCTAGGCTCGGCGGCATTTTCTTTCTTGAGTTTCGCAGGTGACGTCGCCTCCGGGTGGGAGACAGCTCTGGGTGAAGGAGCATCGTTGGTGTGTGATACTGCGGGAGGCGTTGGCAAGTTCTTCTCCTTGCGCAGCTTGGCGGGAATTGGCGGAGGCGCCTCGGAAGGCGGCAATGGGGCAGCCATCATACTCGGTGTTGTAGGTGTTGGAGGTTGAGGAGGAGAGACCAGAGGCTGATCGGCAGTGGGGGATGATATTATTGAAGAGTCTAGAGGTGCGGGGGCGATTTTTCTAGGAATAGGAGGCGGTGCATCAGAGGGAGCAGCCGGATGAGGTGGGTCGAGGGATTCAGATGCCGCAGGAGCAATTCCGAGACCCAGGCCGGAGCTCGTCACAGATCTCACGGTGGGATGCTCAGCCGTGTGGTAGGAGGGCGCGCTGTCGGAAGGAGACGATGCGGGAGGAGTGTCGTCGGGCAGCGGCTTGCGGTGAATCGGTACTTGGTGTTGTTGCTGCAGCTGAGGCAGGGCAGGCGGTGATTGAGTCTGAGGCTGATCTGTGGGTTGGATGATGAGCGAGGGGAACAGAGCAGACAGACGGTTGCCCCAAGATCGGGACTTTCTGTTGTTGGGAGGTCGAGTGGGAGCGAGCACTGGCTCGGAGGTCTTCTCCTTCTCTTCAAGCGTCACATTCAGGGTTCCGGCATTGATTTTCGCAGCAGTTGTTGGCGAGTTGACGGTAGCATCAGTCTGTGATCGTTTCGGGGATGCGGGACGCTGCGGGCGGGAGGACGTGTAACCGTTGGCGTTGGTAACGGCGGCGTCTCCGTGGGTAGCTTGGTCGTATACGGGCTCGGATACGCTGTGGTGTCTTTCGCGGCGTGATTTGGGCGAGACGGGGGTTGTGAGGTTGACTTGTGAGGAAGAGAAGGAGAAGTGGCTTAAAGAAGACTTAAGAGAGGCGCGAGAGACCGACAACTTACTCGACGTCATGCTGGGCATAATCAGCAGCCGCGAGCCGTCTTTCAGTCTTGCTAAGTCTAGTCCTTGTCTGGATCTGGCGTGAATGTCACCTCGCTGCGGCGCAAGTAAGAGAAACGTGTGGTGGTAGTACGGTAAGGTAGGAGCTGAAGGAGCGATCTCGCAGCCAACAAACAGCTAGTCTTTTTTTTTTTTTCTTCTCTCCCGTTTCTTTGCGCGAGCAGCAGAAATGGAAACAAACAGTTCAGTCCAGACCAGAGATAGCAAAGCAGACTTCCAGGTGGCAGGAGGGAACGGCGGGCGGAGGCGGCTATTATGAGTTCAAACAAAGGGCGGAAGTACAAGCCAAGAGACGGCGACTGCGGGACTGAGACCTAGTTCCTTGTGAGAGACCGAGAGAGAAGAGTG